GTTCCGGAGTTAAGAGTTTACTCGCCAAAATTTTCATGAGTTCGTAGGTGATACCCGAGAGCGCGGGAACGCTGAATTTGAATAGGCAGGGTTGGGCCTGGGCGGGGGATTATTACCCTAAAATTTCAGCTTTTTAGACTTTGTGGTTCCTGAGATAATAATTTACCCGTAAAAACTTTCACTGGCCCGTAGGTGATAGCCGAGAGCATGGGAACGCTCAATTTGAATAGGCGAGGTTGAGAGTGGGCAAGGGGTCATTACCATTACCCCAAAATTTCAGCTTCCTAGACTCCATGGATCCCAAAATAATAATTTACCCGCCAAAAATTCTCACGGGGCCGCACTTGTCATCCGCGGGGAGGGGAAAGCTGAATTTAAATTTTGTGGGTAGCACGTGGGCGGGGGACATGCTCACAAAATTTCAACCTTCTATCTTCCGTAGTTCCCGAGATACTGATTTTACCCGCCCAAACTTTTACGAGGCCGTACTTGTTACCCGCTGGTACGGGAAGGCTGAATTTAAATCTGCCGCGTCACCCAATGGCCGGGAACGCTATACCAAAATTTCAGCCGCTTAGCTTTTGTGGTTCCCGAGTTGAAAGTGCGGGACAAAATGTGGGACACACACTCACACGCACACACACGCACACACACACACGCACACACACACACACACAGACAACCCCGTGACAATGCGTGTTTTGTACTGCTGTTACAGAGCATAAAATTACCAACTTAGCAAATGCTCCCTACAGAAGCACTTAGCAGCATAGGCGGATCCGGAGGAAGGGGGAGGGGGAGGCGAAGGGCCTTTCAGCGGCACAGGGCATCAGTGCCGCAAAAAGCTCGGGTCTAAAGCTAAAACTAAAGTAAATCAAAGCCTAAAGTAACTCTAAGTAGCAGTGTGTTATAACTCTATTCCTAGTTTTTGCATAGTTCCACGGCAAGAGGGGACCCTTCCTTGTAGCTCCGTTGCCCCCCTCCCCTTCGCCCAAAGACGTCCGTCCTGGACAGGTTTCTATGCAACAGCACCATAACCCCTAAAAGTGAAGACAAGTTTACGGGAAGAAATACAGCGGACGTAATGCTTAGCCAAAACGAATTTCAATAGCCCGCGCGGTAAAACCCAGCTCGGCCCGCCGCAAACCGGCCAAACCTTGTTCGGTACTTGTGTGCGACTGTTTGTTCGTCTGTGTTCATATGTGCATGTGTAACATATAGGTGTGTGTATATTTGTTTATCGTCTCTATATAAGTGTGTGTGTGGTTGTGTGCGTGTGTATTTGATTATTTGTCGTTTTTGTTTCGAATAAAAAATACGTTTTTCACATTATCACAAAATGCATTGTGTGATGAGCTAAAATT